AAGAGGGGCCCGGCGGCGCCGGCGCGCCCGGCGCGGGCGGTGCAGACGAGGCTGGCAGGTCGGCGGCGCCACGGGCCTGGCGGGGGCGCTGCGCGGGGAGGGCCGCTGCGGCCCGCGGCGGGGGCGGCGCGGGGGTGAAGGCGCGGCGGGGGCCGCCGGTCGGTCGGCCGGCAGCGGCCGCTTTGTTATTGGTGTGTGGGCGTTCAGTTCATTTAGTGGGTCGAGGATCATCTCACAGGCAGCTCGCGGCGGGCGGCCCGGGCGCCGGGGGCGCCGGGGCGGCGCTGCAGGTCTGAGGAACGGCGTGACCTGGTTAAGCATGGGGTGGTGCACCACGGCTGAGTGCCGCCTGGCCTGCAGACGCGAAGCGCCGAAAGGCTCCTCAGGCTGGCCAAGAGCGGGCCCGAGCCGAGCCGCGAGGCCACCGCGAGGGCGGCGGGCGGCCGCAGCGGGGGTACGGTAGCAGGGAGTGAGACCACGGATGTCTGCGCCTACAGCATGCATCGTTGTTCACGCTCATGATGTGTGGTGAGTATAAAGAGAACGTCCATTCACGCGTAGACGTCGGTGCGAGAGAAGGGACTGTTTTTTAATTTGCTGTTTCAGGTTTTGCCCCTCCAAGATCTGCAAGACTGCCTCAGATCACGCAGGTGTTCCGAGTTCCGGCACATGTTCCGATCCGGTTGGTTGTCCATATTTGCTCTCCTGCTGTGCTGGAGTTCACTCCAGCCCGACTTCTATCTCTTAATGACCCCAAAGTAATGGACAGCTGTGTGTGCACCAGTTTGAACAACAGTATCCTTACTCTGTCTGTTGCTTCCTCTTAGAGTGTTAAGTATTCTGTCGTGAAACGATTTTTTTTTTCGCCTCGGAGCGTTATGAACGTCGGGGGGTCGTCCAATTTTACCTTTAACGTGCGTACACAGACAAAGAGAGAGACGTAGAACACGAGAACGAGTATTTTGCCGGAGTTCTCTGAAAACCACTCGCCGCAACGGTTAGATAGACACGAGCTGGGGCCTAGGACAGTGAGGAACGACAGATGCGATGAGGGTCTGAGGTTTGTGTGTGCCGTCCCTCAGATGAGTTGCCTGTGGTGTGTGTGGTCAAAAGTAGCTCATCCCATTGGACGGATCGCCGTAATCTCTGCCGACAGTTTACGTAACAACAGAAGGAGGAGGTGTCGTGACTCCTTATGCGGTGACGTCGCAGCCCACCCTCCCTGTCTCCCCCTCGCCACACACCCAATCATCTGAGAATCTATACGTGATTCAGGCTGAGCGAGGGGCAGCCAGGAGTGCGAACGCGCCTCACTCCCACTCCCACTCCCACTCCCACGTCATCCCGGTCCCCACACAGCTCCTCCTGGTCAATCCACTGTGCGTCCCCCTATGTGAAGCTCCAGCCAGCTGCAGGGAGCAGGAGGTTGGGCCAAAGGCGCAGGTCCAGGGGAGCGACTGAGCGAGGGCGTGCAGTGGTGTGTTTGCTTTGGGTGGTGTTCTGGGGGCGGGGGTGGACGTGTGTTTTACCCCCTGAGAGCATCAATCGAGAGAGAAGAGGGTCTCGTCCTGTGGCAGGGAGGGAGCAGCGGCAGGACGCCGATGCGCTTGCTAAAAGCTACTCTTCTGGGAGCTGGAGATGCATCTGAAGATCGGAACGATGTCTGTAGTGTCTGTCACGTTGGGTGGTGGGGGGAGGGGGGTCGGCGGCGGCGTAACGGGGTCGGGTCGCCTGCATCCGCTTTTTATTGTTGTGGCGTTCAGTTCATTGTATTTTCGAATATTCAAGCAGGGCCTGCAGGTTTGAAACTTACTTTAACATTTAACACCTGAGTGCCGCCTCTACCTGCAACGAAGCGCCAAGGCTCCTCAGCCTGTTCAAACCCCCCCGACTCAGATGCCCCGAAGGGCTATACATGTGAGTGAGGACACGATGTTCTGGCGTCTGCACATGCATGTTGTTACGCTCGAGTGTGTGTGAGTATAAAAGAACGTCCATTCACCGTAACGTGGTGAGAGAAGGGACTGTTTTTTAATTTGCTTTCAGGTTTTCCCTCCAATCTCCAAACTGCCTCAGATCACCATGTTCCAGTTCCTCAATTGATCCAGTTTGTCCATATTTGCTTCCCTTTGTTCAGTTATCATCCCACTTCAGTCTCTTAAACCCCCAATAAACCAGTGTGTATGCAGCCAGTTTGAACACAGTTACCTACTTCTGTTTGTGCCCTTCCTCTAGAGTGTTTAATATTTGTCTGAAACATTATTTTTTTTTTCGCCTCAGCGTGTATGAATCGGGTCTCAATTTTATTTTAACGGTGCGTACACAGACAAAAGGAGAAGTAACACAAACGATATTTTCCAGTTCTCTAAAACCACTCGCACGCCAACGTTAATGACACAGCTGGAGGAAGTGAAATACACAGATATGAGCCGGTTGAGGCTTTTTGTCTCCTCCTCAGACAGGTTTCCTCTGACTGAACTTGGTACCACAACTCTGGTGAATCCAACAGCTGAAAGGTGCTTAAAGCAGAACAGGTGAAAGGAGATCTCGGCGCCGCCGCTCAAAGCTTTTAGGCCGTTGTTGACGCGCTCACACGTGTGCGGTCGAAGTCAAAGAAAGGTGTGAATGAGAAGAAACTCGTATGTAATTAAAACGCCTCGGAGGTATAAAAACAAAACCACACCCTGATTTGTTGCGTGAACTAAATGTGCTTCCTTTTGTGTGTGTGTGTGTGTGTAATTTAACTGTTGAGTAGTTTAAGTGAAATATTGATCGGATTAGCCATGAGTGGATCAATAAGAACCACAGTACTGCCTTTGTGTCCCGTAGTGATGGATTCAGTTGTGCTTCATTAATCTGTAATCCACAATACCAACACAAGAGACCTACGGTTTTATTAAATTAGAGACACAACTAACTATTATTTGTTTAATCCAGAGTCATGAGAGCTCTTGATGTCTGACCAGCAGTCCAAAGACTCAAAGATATCCAGTTTGTGGTCATAAAAGAACCAAATATTCACATTTTAGATGCTGGAAATAATAATTTATCTGTCAATCGACTAAAGGCCTCCACTCAGACAAAGCTTGTGTACTTTGATCAATTCCTGGATGCCTGTGTGATCATGATAATGTTATTTGATCCTGTAGATACTCAACAGTTGAGCCAAGATAGCGTTATATTTCTGTTTGAGACACTAAATACACAAACGAGGTCCGTCCTAAGGCATTTATTAGATTATTACTCTGGGAAACTGTAAATTATCCCTTAAACTACTGTAGTTAACCAAATCACACATTTGATAATTAATGTAATATATCCCCTGAAACTGTTTTCGCTTAAAAAGGCCCGCCTCAAAAATGTAGAAAACCTTTGAATTAATAAATTAGTTGATTGATAATCAATGAATCATTTCAGCTTCCTGTGAGGATTTGCGGTTTTAAAATTGGCGATGAGTGTGTTTAATTACCGACATTTTATAGACAGATAGAAGATAAATGCTTAATACAAAAAATAAAACAACAGACCAACATCACAGTTTATATTTTATTAAACTACAACTGCTAATAAATCTAATTTAACTCTCTTACGATGCTGAAAATGTTACTTTGGTTGTCTCAGATGTTGGAAAATGACACTTGGAGAGTAAAACTTTATCCGACAAGTAATTCATCAACAGAAAACGACTCTTAACAAATAATTCATCATCAAACTCGTCGGCTGTTAACATCCTCTTGATTGACTCACGGTTTCAACTCCACAGAGGACTCACACATCTCAGAGAATAATAAGCCTCCTCGCTAACAGAGCGGAGGGGTGGCCCTGATTTAATGTACAGAACAGCGTGTTCCCATTTCATGAGTCAAACTAAATATCTAAAGAGGACAAAGGAGCTTATCTTCCACTGCTTTTCCTCCCTCCTCCGTTCACAAACACTCCCCAGACTTCCAGTGTCAGTGTTGGACAGTGCTGAGGTCAGATTATGTCAAATTACACGAGAGTCTTGACCCCCCCCTTGTGTTTAATAACCGATAGGTGGAGACATTGCTCCACACAACAACCAGGCGAGGTTTCCCATCCATCACCCTGCAGACACACAGCAGAGGAGAAACAACAAAAACACATGATTTAAAGCAAAATATCTCCTTTCACCTGCCGCCTTGAAGCCTAAGCGGTGTCTGCGTCTGCGGGCTTTTATACAGGGACAGTGCAGCTGCATGAATTATGACCATGAGCAAACCCTCTCCTCCAATCGGCGCAAGCATTATGCAAACGAGGCGCAGCGCTCGGCCAATCAGGAGGCTGCTGGCGTTGTTTTCCCCCTGCGCTCATTACCCGGAGAGAGAGAGAGAGAGGGAGACGCGGGTTTTAGCGGAGCCGCAGCTTCAGTCCATTGTGTGCTCTGCTCCGGCTGCGGTCGCCCCAAGAGGAGAGCAAGACCCCCGACGTCCTGCCCTCAATAATGCGCTGTTTTTCTACTTTTCTACCGCTGGGTTTCCAGTCTGTGCAGCCGGAGAACCGCCTCTGGAGGTGTTAATGCGCCGGGGTAGCATGAACTCCCAGTGTTACACAGTGGCGATGGATCTTGGCGTTTGTCAGCTGAGGAATTTCTCCATATCGTTTCTGTCCTCCGTGCTGGGGAAGGAGAGTGCAGCAGTCAGGGTCGACAATAGGTAAATGTACTGCGCATTGTGTGACAACGAGGCGACACGGAGCCGACATGTCACCTCGTTGGTCCCCCGCCTGATGCCTCCACCTCCATTCCCTTTGTCGAAATAATATTGTGAATTCATGCTTATTTGTTCTTCCCCTCATGACAGCTTCGTCGTTTTACACCTCGGGGTTATTTATGTTGGATTTGGCAGCTTTTAAACCCGCCTCACCCTTTTTTAAAAAAAATAAAAAAACAACCTTTAATGCGGTCAGGTTGTAGTGAAATACAGCCTGCGGCACTGAGGCTTTAATAACTCACCAATAACACTGTTCTCTGTGTCTTTCAGCTCCTCTGGTGCCAGTGTGGTGGCCATAGACAACAAGATTGAACAAGCCATGGTAAGAACCCGTTTTAATCAGCTCTAATGCGGCTGTGTGTCTCACGGATGTGTTATATAAGCCAAACACCCTTTTTTTAATGCTTTTTAATAGCCTGTTAAAGATAATTCAAGTTTGTATTCAAAGGGACTCTCAGGGTACCGAGAGGAGACTAAAAGCTGGAGCAATGAATGAATGAATGAATGTAATCCAGATGTGAGTTTTATTATAGTTGAAGCTGCACGTTTTCTGCTTTAAGTGCACCTGCTGTTTGAATCATCCGGACAGATAACCTCCGGCTTGTTGGCAACTTGATGTGGGCTAGGCTAAGGTTCACACGCTATCCCCCCTCCC